GGCTGTGTGAGACGTCCGGGTGGATAGAGCTTTCGTTGGGTGGTACCATGAGGGAGGCATTTGCTGGCTTCATTCCATTATTTCTCATGCTGTATGATCACCTTTTCTTGCTTCAAGTCTTGTCGTCCAACTCTGTCATTACTGAATATGGATGTGCATTGCAGCGAGAAGTTTATTATCACAATACACTGAGAATGCCGTTGCTCACTATAGAAGCGATTCCTGATGCTTGGGTTTGCCATGTCAGATCTTTGTAGTTCCACTTCGTCGCGGAGGTCTTTGTGCATGTATGTGTATGTAGTTGTAGTTGCTCTGTTCTGAGAACGAGCACTTTCGGCGCTGACGTGACCCGAGTCGCTGTGAGAGAGAGAGCCTTATGTTATAGTAATTTCCATTTTCTTTTCCATTATCCCTAGAAATATCCCCAATATAACGCCAATGCCCTGTGATTTTGTGAGTCCTCGGGCCCGGAGCCTCTCGCCGCCTTCGCCTTGCGAAGTTTGGGCTCCGCCCTCTTCCTGGGAGGGCTGCTTGACTAAAATATAGGGTTTAGGGTTCAGGGGTTTAGGGATGATAGGTTTTTGGGGGTTAGGGATTATAGGTTTTTAGGGTTTAGGGATTATAGGTTGTTGCGGTTTAGGGATTATAGGTTTAGGCCTCCGGGGAGTCATAGCATGTGTGGCAGATCACAGGAAGCATGTCCATGAGGCTGGCTGCAGCTGCCCGGGCCAGAGCACCATCAGGCCTGGCAATAATTGGGGATTTCCCAAGATTAGGGGTACCCTTCGCGGGGTCCCCATAGTAAGGACTATAGTATTTGGGGGTCTGTATTGGGGTTATTGGGGTCCCCCCCACTACGGAAACTCCCAATTGGATGTTTGCTGTGCTACTAAGGACCGCGATTGGGCAGCAAAGTGAAAGTGATCGTGCAGCCAAGCTGCCTCCAGGCAGCACGCAACAACGATGTGTCTCACGGGGCTGCTGTGCACTCCATGGTCGCTGGTGACCTCATCAGCTTTGAGTCAGAGATTGCAGATACGAAGATGGAAAGCGCCGAAGCCATTAGCGAGGTGCCAGACAAAGTGCCCATCTTTTCCACCACAGAGCCAGTGAGCGTTGCAGCCACTTCCGCCCCCACCACCACGTTTGGTCACACGGCTGTCAGGGCACGGGTGGTCAAAGGAGCTCGCTTCTGCTCAGCGCGCTCCGCTCACCGTGCCGGGAGCATGCCCTCCTTCAACCAGACAAAGCAGCGCCGAAGAATGGGTGCAAGGTTGCGTGCTGTGAGCGCACGCTATGAGATGCCACCAAAGTCCTTTGATGCGAGCCGAGTGCGCTTCCAGATCCAGAAGCTCGGACAACAAGCAGGTACGTCCTACGCTGTCATGCCTCGTAGTTTGGTGGGGACCTTTTACAGTTGGAGAGAAGAGAGAGCGAGGGAAATAACTTGCAACAATTGTGCGGTGCTGACAAAGAAGACATTTACGAAATAACATAGCTGCCATCACTCTCAGACTGTGTATCCCTAACGGCATACGGTGCAACATGACCAGTGCTGCTACTAGAACTGCAGGTTTGCTTTTGCTGCTGCTGCTGCTGCTGCTGCTGCTGCTTGCTGCTGGTTCTTCTTCTTCTACTACTACGACGACTACTACTCCGGCTGCTCCTTCTGCTGCAACTACTACTAGAACTCAACTTTCACTGTTGCTGGTGCTGTTGCTACTGCCATTCGTTGATGCTGTTGCTAATACACGGTTGGCGTGCCCACAAGATCTACAGTACTGCACAAAAGGCGTTTCTCAACATGGCACCCAAGGAGTCCCAAATAGGGACCTCAAATTCCTGCATTTTGTAGGGCCATTGCTTTCTGAGAGAAGCACTACTGTCTCTGTTCTCAGGATCGGCCTCAGCACTAACCCGCGCCCCAGGACCCCGAAGGCCGTATGACATGGTTAAGGGTTTCGATGGTTTGGGCTTTGTAGGAGATTGTAGTAATGGAGTCTCTCACTTTGAGAGGCATCTGGTATGATCATAAATGTGTCAAGAGGATAAACTCAAATTTCTCCGATTCCAAGCAAAGGAGAGTCGGGATGAATGGGCCGTAAGACGACGCATGCCTCCAACTTAACAGTTCTAGCTATGGCTAGGTAGGGCAAAACCCAAGTTATCGACCAGGCAATATTGCACGGTCATTTAGAGTTCTCATTCTGTGCCTTATAACGGATGGCAGTAGTCTTTCGTAACATGCCTACCTGAACTTATGACAAGGACAGGTGTAGCAATTGCAGCAGGAATGCATGTATTGCACGATGATATGGTGGTCAATCGAAGGTTCCTGGCTGTGGATCTCTACACAGCCACCTCTCCTCAGCCTGCAGAAGACTAAACATCCAAATTCCTAAGCCCATTTGAACCCTAAACCTGAACTCTCTAAAGGCCTGGCTATCCTAAACCCTAAACCACCCTAATCCCCTAGACCCCGGAGTTCGTAGGGCTTCATAGGGTACATATTGTGAAGGGTTTACGGTTTGGGCTCTGCGGGCATTTTCCAGGATGAAGAGCCCATATGAGCTGTAGTCTAAACTCCTTAAAGGGGGTTATATAGGGGACTAGTATAGGGGTTCTTAAGGGGGATACTAGGAGTTTAGACTATGGCCCATATGAGCTGT